GCCCAATGAGGCTCCCAAAAGGGCCCCAAGAGGCCCCCAAGAAAGCCCCAAGACGGCCAAAGGCTTCCAAACGCCCCAAGACAGCCCAAAAGGGACCCAAAAAGGATTCCAAAATGGTTCGTCACACCAAGGCTCCCAAGAGCGAGCGGCAACGTAAAAGTCTCTGAACACCAGGGTTTCCCAACGGAGAGCGGCGACGTACCAAACTCTTCACACCAAGGCTCCCAAGAGCGAATGGTGCCATGAGCTCTGTCGGGCTAGTTCCTGAGGCGCTCTTTCCGTTTCGGTGCCGGCCCAGGTAACGGAAAGAGCGAGGTAAGAGTGATGACGTTTTTGTGTGGGGCGAAGCCTTCTAGGGAGGGGTCCAGGGGAGGGGCGAGAGCCGCACATTTGGGGGTCGTAATGGCCGCCCGGGGGCCGTTTCCGTTTTTCTTGTCGAGTGAAGCGGCTCGCGGGCGGCTTCCACGGCCCGTTTCTTTTTATTTGTCGGGTAAAGCGGCTGAAGGGCCCCAGACGGCCCAAGCAGGCACCAAAACGATCCAAAGACGGTCCCAAGAAAGCTTCGGATGGCCTCCAGAAGGTCCAAGAGAGCCTCCAGACGGCTCCAGAGGCTCTCCAGAGGGCCCCCGGGAGGGCCAGAGGAGGCCCAAAGCACGGATTTCCATACAGTTTTCGCATGTTTTTCGGGTTCTCGCCTCTTCGGGTCCAGAAGGGCCCCAGACAGCCCAAGAGGCCCCAAAGCTTGTCCCAACACGGCCCCCGAGCTCGTCCCAAGACGGCCCCAGAGGCCCCCCAAAGAGGCGGAAATTTATCCAAGACGGCCCCCAGACGGCCCCAGATGGCCCCAAGATTACCCCAAAAGAGTCCCAAGAGGTCCCCAAGAGAGCCCCAAGAGGACCAAATAGGCTCCCAAAATGGCCCCAAGAGACAAACGAGAGAGCCCCAAGACGGCCAAAGGCTTCCGAGACGCCCCTAGTCGGCCCAAAAGGGCCCCAAGACGGCCCAGAATTGGCCCAAGCTCCCGAGGGGCTCCAAAAGGGCCCCAAGAAGACCCCGACGAGGCCCAAGAGACGCTCAAGAACACCATGGCTCCCATCAGCGAGCGGGGACGTAACAAGCTCTTGACACCAAGGCTCCCCAGAGCGCGGTGACGTACAAAGCTCGTCACACCAAGGCTCCCAAGAGCGAGCGGCAACGTAACAGTCTCTGAACACCAGGGCTCCCAACGGAGCGGCGACGTAACAAGCTCTTCACACCAAGGTTCCCAAAAGCGAAGGGTGCCATGAGCCCTCTCGGGCCAGTTCCTGAGTCGCTCTTTCCGTCTCCGTGCCGGCCCAGATAACGGAAAGAGCGAGGTACGAGTGATGACGTTTTTTTTTTTTCTTCTTCTTTTTTTTGTTGGTGTGTGTGTGTGTGTGTGTGTGTGTGTGTGTGTGTGTGTGTGTGTGTGTGTGTGTGTGTGTGTGTGTGTGTGTGGGGGGGGGGGCGAAGCCCTCTAGGGAGGGGTTTTAGGGGAGGGGCGAGGGCCGCACATTTGGTTGGTAAGGGCCGCCCGGGGACCGTTTCCGTTGTATTTTCTCGAGTGAAGTGGCTCCTGGGCGGCTCCCTTGGCCCGTTTCTTTCTAGTTTTTTCGAGTGGCGCGGCCCATGGGCCCTGAGACGGCCCAAGAGGGCTCCTAAATGGTCCAAGAGGGCACCAAGCCTGCCCCAAGAGAGCCTCAGATGGCCTCCAGACTGTCCAAGGGAGCCTCCATACGGCTCCAGAGGCCTTCCAGAGGGCTCCCGAGAGGGCCCCCTGGAACAGAACACCGGGATTTGTTTATGTTTTTCCCAACCAATTTGTGTTGTTGGGTCCTCGTTTTGAAGAGACAGCGCCCGCGTCCTCCCGCTGCCCCCCTCCCTCTGCATCCCTATCATCAGCATCACCGTCACCATCGTTATCGTCATCGTCGTCATCATCATCATCATCATCATCATCATCATCATCATCATCATCACCACCATCACCATCGTCATCAGTTCGGCACACCCCTCACACGGTTCGTGGCCCCATTGGGAGCTCCACCGAAGGCCCCAGTGGCTGCGTCCCCATGCTTCACCGCCACCCATTACGGCACACCCTTCACACGGTTCGTGGCCCCATAGGGAGCTCCACCGAAGGCCCCAGTGGCTGCGTCCTCATGCGTCACCGCCACCCACTACGGCACACCCCTCACACGGTTCGTGGCCCCATAGGGAGCTCCTCCGAAGGCCCCAGTGGCTGCGTCCTCATGCGTCACCGCCACCCATTACGGCACACCCCTCACACGGTTCGTGGTCCCATAAGTAGCTCCACCGAAGGCCCCAGTGGTTGCGTCCTCATGCGTCACCGCCACCCATTACGGCACACCCCTCACACGGTTCGTGGTCCCATAAGTAGCTCCACCGAAGGCCCCAGTGGCTGCGTCCTCATGCGTCACCGCCACCGCCACCCATTACGGCACACCCCTTACACGGTTCGTGGCCCCATTGGGAGCTCCATTTAACGCCCCAGTGGTTGCGTCCTCATGCGTCACCGCCACCCATTACGGCACACCCCTTACACGGTTCGTGGCCCCATTGGGAGCTCCACTTAACGCCCCAGTGGTTGCGTCCTCATGCGTCACTGCCACCCATCACGGCACACCCCTCACACGGTTCGTGGCCCATAGGGAGCTACACCGAAGGCCCCAATGGTTGCGTCCGCATGCGTCACCGCCACCCATTACGGCACACCCCTCACACGGTTCGTGGCCCCAGAGGATGCTCCACCGAAGGCTCCAGTGGGAGGTTTCGCATGTCACCACCGCGCCCAATCCGGCACGCCCCTTACTGTGCGTGGTCCCACAAGGAGCTCCACCGTAAGCGGTACTCACAATGCGGTATTCGCAGCTTCATATGGTTGGGTCTTTCGCCAGGCTAATATACAGGTTTTTCAGGTTCTTGCTTAGTGGGGCGAAGAACGGTCTAAAACGGCCCACGAGGCTCCAAGACGGCCCAAGAGGCTTTCGAAAGGGCCCGACAACGATCCGAGAGGGCCTCAAGACGACCCCAGAGGGGCCCAAAACGGCCCCAAAGGGCCCCAAGACGGCCCAAGAGGGCATCAAAACGTCCCAGGGAAAGCCCCAAGAGGCCCAAAGAGGACCCAAAGAGGCTTCCAAAAGGGCCCCAAGAGGCCTCCAAGAGAGCTCCAAGATGGCCAAAGGCTTCCTAGACGCCCCAAGAATGCCCAAAAAGGACCCAAGGCGGCCCAAAATTGGCCCACAAGGGCTCGAAAAGAGCTCCACACGGGCCCCAAGAAGACCCCGACGAGGCCCAAGAGACGCTTAAGAACACCATGGCTCCCATCAGCGAGCGGGGACGTAACAGGCTCTTGACACCAAGGCTCCCCAGAGCGCGGTGATGTACAAAGCTCGTCACACCAAGGCTCCCAAGAGCGAGCGGCAACGTAACAGTCTCTGAACACCAGGGCTCCCAACGGAGCGGCGACGTAACAAGCTCTTCACACCAAGGTTCCCAAAAGCGAAGGGTGGCATGAGCCCTCTCGGCCGAGTTCCTAAGGCGCTCTTTCCGTCTCTGTGCCGGCCCAGGTAACGGAAAGAGCGAGGTACGAGTGATGACGTTGTGTGTTGGGCGAAGCCCCGTAAGGGAGGGGGGTCCAGGGGGGGGGGCGTACGGGGAGCAAACGGGTTGAGTGGCCGTTTTGGGCGGTTTGTTTTGGGTTTTTGCATGTTTTTCGGGTTTCCCCAAGGACGGCCCAATAGCGCTCCAAGAGAGCCCAAGACCGCCCAAGACGGTCCACGAGGCCCCCAAGAGGCCCCCAAGAGGCGCCCAAGGGGCGTACGCATATTTTAAGCATATACGGCTTTTCGGCTTTCACGGCGTTGACGACGGTCCAAGGGGCCCCCAAAGACCGCCCCAAGACGGCCCAAGAGGCTCCCAAGAGGCCCCCAAAACGGCCCAAGAGAACCCCCAGACGGCCCAAGAGGCGCCCAAGACGGCCCAAGAGGGCCCCGAGACGGCCCCAAGAGGGGGACCACGAACCGAAAAGTCTAGCCATTCGCCCTAAGACGCTCCCGGGAGACGACCCCTACAGCCCCCCAAGAAGCAAGAGGCGTCCGACGAGGCCACCAGGAGGCCCAAATCATTGATTTCCGACGGGAAACGGTACATTTTAAGCATGCGCAGCTTTTCGGCTTTCACGGCGTTGACGACGGTCCAAGGGGCCCCCAGGACCGCCCCAAGACGGCCCAAGAGGCTCCCAAGAGGCCCCCAAAACGGCCCAAGAGGGCCCCCAGACGGCCCAAGAGGCGCCCAAGACGGCCCAAGAGGGCCCCGAGACGGCCCCAAGAGGGGGACCACGAACCCGAAAGTCTAGCCTTTCGCCCCAAGAAGCTCCCAGGAGGCCCCAAGAGCCCCCCAATAATAGGCCCCAAGAGGCCCCCAAGAGGTTCCCAAGAGGCCTCCAAAAGGGCTCGAAAAGTGCCGCAATAGGACTCCCAAGAAGGCCCAGAGACGCCAAATAAAGAGCGATCGGCAACGCAAAAAGCTCTTCACACCAAGGCTCCCAAGAGCGAACGGTGAGTAAACAAGCTGATATGACCAAGGTTCCCATCAGAGAGCGGTGACGTAACAAGTTCCTGACACCAAGACCGCGCCAAGGCTCAGGAACGGGCGGCAACGCAACAATCTCTGAACACCAAGGCTCCCAAGAGCGAGGGGTGACGTAACAAGCTCTCAACGCTAAGGCTCCCAGTACGAACGGTGCTGCGAGAAATTTCGGTTTCTGTTTCTGACGCGCTCTTTCCGTTTCTGTGCCGGACCAGGTCTGATGGCCCCTTCTTCTTCTTCTTCTTTCAATGCGTCTTCTGCCCCCCTTGGGCCGCGCCCATGCTTCGGACCATGATCCGCACTTACCCCTCGTGGACGCCCCCGAGTCTTACCATCGTTTCCTGCCCACGCCTACTTGGGAACGACGAGAGGAGTCCTTCGCGGTCTTCGACGACTTCCTGCCCCCCGCGGCTGCGGCGGCGCTCGCGGCCGCCATGGAGCGCATGAGGAGCAGCATGGTCCGCGGCAGGACGGACTCGGAGCTGTCGGCGAGCGGGAGAGGCTCGGCGACTAGAATGGGTGTGGTTACGCCCCGGTGTAGCTTGCGATCGGCGCCGTCGGGGCTTAGGGGGGCACCACGTTGCGCCAAAGCTTCGATGAGCCCTCGTCGAGGCGCAGCAGAGATCTCTGTCGAGGGCCTCGTGCGCCCCACCAAGGCCCGGGTCGCAAACCGCACCGCACCCTTCGGAGTCGCCGAGAGGCGACGAGATCTCCTGGGCGAACCCCGCGGACGTGCCGGAGATGGGGCCGCTGGTGGAGTGCCTGAACGGCGTGGTCAGCACGCTGATGGAGCTCCCGGATCCGGGAGTGCAGGCGCGCCTGGCGCGGGTCAGCGCGCTCTCGGACGCGCAGTTCGCGGTGTTCCCAGGGGACTCCGCGGAGAACGCGCGGTACATCCGGCACGTGGACAACGAGGACGGCCGGAACGGCCGCTTGCTGACCTGCACGTACTACCTGAACGAAGGCTGGGACGCGTCCGTGCACGGAGGGGAGATCCGCCTGTTCGAGCCCGACCAGAGGTCGATCAAGGCCGACATCGCGCCCGTGTGGAATCGCCTGGTCTGCTTCTTCAGCGACTCGTCGGTGCGGCTGGAAGGGCAGTAGTCCAGAGCGGGTCCTACTGCTTCTCCTCTTCCTTGGCATCGCTCGGACGTGTGCGTTTTTTTCCTCGGCGAGGGCCATCGAGGAGCATCTTTGATCATTTGGAGAAAAACCACGCGCGAAACCGAAAAAAACACAGGGAATGGACGTCCGAGCGATGGCCAGCTTCCTCTCTCTCGCAGCGCCATCGGGCGTCCCCATCCGCGCTCGCGCGCTCGCGGCCTCTCACGGGGCGGGCGGCCGGCCCGGCGCGAGTGAGGGGGCCCCCCGGACGCCACCGGGGGACCCTTTCCAGAGAGGGGGGAGGAGAGGAGTCGTACCTTGTGCTATACCATCCTGAGGCCCACAGCACAGAAGGAGGAGGAGGAGGAGGAGGAGGAGGAGGAGGAGGAGGAGGAGGAGGAGGAGGAGGAGGAGGAGGAGGAGGAGGAGGAGGAGGCAGGAGGAGGAGGAGGAGGAGGAGGAGGAGGAGGAGGGGGAGGGGGAGGGGGAGGAGGGTGAGGAGGAGAAGAGCGGCCAGCCGCTCATGGAATGTGGAAGCAGGTGCCGAAGACGGCGCACTTTGCGCGTAACAGTATACACGGCGTACCATGTCCGTAGCGCTGTAGACGTCATACGTCACGGGCATTCGGTCGTATGGCGTGGTGTCGGTATCGGAGTTCCAGCGTATGTTTTTGGTAGTCTTGCGTAGTACTTTCTAGTCATCGTCTTCCTGGGTAGTTACTGCCTCGCGCTCGATTGCGTGTCCGTCTTGGATCGTCTACAGGGTGCGTTTGTTGTGCGAACCTGTCGGGGATGTGAGGCCGTTGATCTTGTAGTAGTCCTGTGCACTTGGGGGTCCCTGGCAGTCCAGCAAGTCCACGAAGTACTTGGTGCCTCCTGTGATGATAGGTTGGTAATGTAGTTTGACTTTGTTTGCCAAGTCGTAGTTGTGGTTCATGTTTCAGACTTTCATAGGTGTACTGGTCTGCTTCCAAGTCGTGTTGTCGGCCATATGCCGTATAATTTTGCAGCGATCGCATTTTTGAACCCGCCGAAAGTAGGAGGCACTGTGTCAATCTCGAGCGTGATGCAGTCCTCCTTCTCAGGGTCCTACGGCATGTAGTAGTGGAGTCGCACTGCCGCGTTGTATGGATGGCTCTCCACTGGGATCTAGTTTTTGGTGGCATGCCAGTAGCCATCTCGCAGGGACTGTGGTGGATCTTGCCCATCATGTAACGGTCATCGATGGTAACCTCACAAGTGCCTTCAATGCATTTAGCCTTGTCCACGTTGATACGCTTGTGGTAGAGACCGTTGAAATTTTGACGCAAGGCCGATTGGATATCGCTGATCTTGAGGTATTGTTTGGCGTCACCTCCTTGGGTAACCAACCTTTACAAGCTGTATCACTTTGTTATGGTACGGTAGATCGTGTAGCTAGATCCCAGCTTCGGCTGGCATATGCTCTCCAGGACTATCGTCGATGATGCGGTGGTTGTTCGCACCCAGCATGTTGGATGTAATCGTGTTGTACGTAGGGTGTTTATGAGCAGGTATTTTCATTACGGGGCCAATGAGGGTTTGGATGTTTGATGTAAGATCCTGGTACAGCAGTAAGTATGGTGGAGCAGTGTAAGTAGGCGGGTAGGTGGGAATCCAGAATACGGTGAAGGTGTAGGCAAGCTCGCGATTGTCCTGTGGTGTCCGAGTATTCGTACAGAGCCGACTTTCTATGCCATGGTAGTGATGGGCGACGAGGAGGGAGAGCGGAGAAGTGATGAGGATCTAATTGTTGCTCTGGCAGTCGAGCAGGAGAAGTAGTAGCCCTCGCCGTTCTCGGCGGTCTCGTCTGGGACGGCTTGTTCGTCCTGGTGGATGGCTTCTCGTCGTCCTCGATATCCTTCTAATTCCGGTCCTCCTTGTCCTGGTCATCCTCGCCCTCTGGGTACACGGATTCTGTCGTAGTATTCCACGTTGTCGTACATGATGTCCATGCCTTCCAGCTTCGGGGGGTCGCCCACGCCGTGCTCCTCCACGGTCGTGTCCATGAAACGTACCAGCGTGAAGTCCATAGGTCCTTCCAATTGCCCTCCTCGATGCGGATGCGCATGTAGTAGTGCACCGCATACACCTCGTTGAGTTTGTAGGGCATGTAGTGGAGGTTGGTTGTCGCGGGTACCATGCTGCCCTGCGCCCAGCAGCTGTGCACCACGATTTGGTCCAGGTACTTGATCTCGTAGTCGCACTGCTGCTGGAAGAGCTTGGTCTGCAGGTTGTCCTTGACCAGGGCCACGTTCAGCTTCTCGGACGTGGGTACCGTTGTGTGCAGGATCTCGCCAGTCGGCCCGTAGTAGAATTTCACGTTCACCTGGTGCGGGTAATCCGCCGTGGTCATGTACGTAGATGTACCACTGTTGGGGGACCAAGAAGTTCGGGTTGAGCGGCAGCCAGGTCATTGTTCTTGTCGTGGATCGCTTCAGGGCTGCGGTCGATGGTGTACGTGTCTTGCACCTATTTAACGCAGTCTCCAGATGTTTTGTAGAATGTCAACAACCTGTGCCTGCACCTCTGGACGTTGTGCTTCATCGCCACAGCGATGTTGCCCACTTTGAATCACACCTGCTCCGTGTCGTCGTTGTCGGTGTTCTTCGGCGTGTGTGCCGGGAACACCCGAAGCTGTTTGTTGTCGACCGACGGGCTGGAAGAGGGTGGCGCCGTGGCGTGGGCGTCGTAGATGCCCACCCCCATGAACAAGGACTCCTGCAAGCACTCCTCCACGTGGAACGCTATGGCTGAGGGCTTCGCCGCATGGTTTTCCACGAGCAGCCTCCAGGTATAATGCTTGTATTATTGGTCGTTTTCACCCGCTTCTGTTTCACTCTTGCTGCCGCTGTGCCCGAAGCCAGCCTCCACTGGAGACACAGCCTGGAGACTGGAAGCTGGACGCCTTCTTCGGGCCGTTGTCCACTTCGGACGCGTAGTATTGCATCGTCACAGCCATCGCGAGGCGGTAGGGCCTGAGCGGCAGGTGACTTAGCAGTACTGAGTCTTAAGTGGTAGAGGGGCCAGGATAGCAGCCACGAAGCGTGCGGGTCTACGTCTTCGTACGTGCCAGCAGTATTTCGCAGACCTGTCCCGCGCTATCCCATGGCAGCGCAGAACTATTCATTTAGTAGCAGTAATTGGACGGCGTAGGCGGATACTAGTGATGATATCAGCGGTCTGGTTTTTGTCTCTGCTTGCTCTAGGTTGCAGTCGCCCCCTGACTTACGTTATACGGGTGTGTGGCAGTCCTGCGTTGGTATTCCTCGTCAGCGATCTCTGTCGGTGTGTAGGGCTCTTCCTTGATTGCTTGCACATCCAGCGGCGGCATATCAATTGCCTGTAGTTCTACGGCACGGCTTGCACTTGCAAAACCATGTTGCATGTCACGTCGTACACCTGGCTTGATAGAGCATCCATCTCGTTGTATGTGTATTCAGTATGGGGCTACTCCAGGTTGTAGTGCAGTCGCATATCCTGGGGGGGTACTCATTGAGCGGCGCCGTATTGAAGTTACCTGCACGGTCGACGTCCAGGGCGGCGAGGTGTCCTCCTCGATGATTGCAGCGTCCCTGATGTCCCACTCGTCTGAGTATAGCAGAGGCCGTAGGTAGGTTTACGCATCCTAGCGTGGTGGGTTTTCTGTCGCAGCAGTCGAGCATGCACTGGGCGATGCTGATCGTGCAGACCTCCTTGCATGTAGGTAGGGGTGGATGGATGTTCTATTGTCGCTGGTATACGTAGCAATCGTGTGTCGAGGAGGAAGTCGAGGGTGACTCGTACGAGTCCTTTTCCTACTCGTATCGTTTTTTCCTCTCCGTTGAGCCATTTGTATCCCAAGGGTTCGTCTATGTCGCAGAATGGTCGAGGTCCGCCGTCTTGTCGCTGCTGTAGGTGATTCCAGCGTTCACCACTCCGTTGTTCACAGGGCGGCCCAGCTTGTATACCAGCTACCAGTCCAGCGCGCATAAGTGCTGTCCAGAATTTTATAGCCTCTGAATGTAGCAGGCTCCTCCAGTGTAGGTCATTAGCAAGGTCGAGGCTTGTGACTGTCACGGGGAAGCTGGAGTGTACTTCGGTGAAATGTTGTAGATCTTGGTCTCTACGTCGGACTTAGAAGAAGTGGAGGTAGTAGTATACCTTGCGTTGGGGAACATGTGGGGTGCTTCCAGTGATATGCACACTGCCCTCGTCTAGTTTCGGTTTGTTGTGTTGCGGTGGCGTTTGCTTGTGGTCTTATCCATTCGTCTTCAGGTAGTAGCATCGGTACAGTTTGCTGGTTTATGCTGGCTGGTTTCCTGACCTTCGCCTCATAGTAGCCTTCTCTTCGTAGCGCAGCAGCGTCATCCTTGCCCTGTACTCGTTCATGCGATAGCCGGTCAAGGTCGTATCTGATGAGGAAGGCACAATTTCGGTTCCTGCGAGTCACGTGTATGCGTCGTCGAGGTTTGCTATGGTAGTTCATTCCACATATTATGTACATAATTGCGTGCGTGGTCCTGGTCAGGGTGGTATTTTGTCATATGTATTGCCCAGGCTCCCTTGGTAACCAGTATCGGTGGGCATTGCGAACATGCGTATCTGGTCTCTGTGGTATGGTGTGTGGCATGCTCCGTTGGCATTTCTACTCTCAGAAGTCCGAGTCGCTGGTAGCACATCTTGCGCCATGCCATGTGCTTCACATGCTCCTTCGTCCATTGTGCAGCTGACTCAGTCAGTTTGCTCAAGTAGCTGTCCGTTTCGTCCGCACTTTCTTTTGCTTTGGCCGTCCATTTGCGTAGTCCGTTACGCTTGCGCGACGCGTGTTGGTCTTAGAAGCGTTTGAGACACTCGAAGTTGCCGTTGAATTGTTCTGTCCAGCTTCCCCCAACGTGCACAACAGTACATCCAGGGCGTTCAGTAGTTGGGCCTGGTCCATGCCGGTTTGTTTGGACATAGTATTTGGGTTTCCTTGTCCTGAGCGGGGAATCTAAATCCAGTTTGTCCACGTGGTCGAGGACGTAGGTTGTCGGTGGCTTTCTTGGTGTGTTGTTCGTGGTTAGGTATTTCCAACGCCGATCGGTCGAACTTCATGTGCGTGGAGTGGAATGATGCCTTCTGTTTTACAGCGGGCGAAGGCCAGGTCTCAGCGTTGCAGGTGAGTCTGTATCGCGCCAGGGCGTCTGCTAGATGTACCAGATCCTTGGTTTCGATATGTTGCTGAGTGAATAG